GATTCTTTCATTCCTGGAGATCCTTTTATCTCTCTCTGCCTCAGCTTCTCTGTGTTCCTGTTCTCTGATTTCTATTCCATTAATGGCCTCTTGCACCTCATCCAGTCTGCTCTTAAGTACTTCCAGAGATTGTTTTATTTCTGTATTCTTCCTCCTAACTTGATCCTTTAGCTCTTGCATGTTTGTCTGCAGGTCCATCAGCATGGTTATGACCTTTATTTTGAGTTTTTTTTCAGGAAGATTGGTTAAATTTACCTGCCTAGGCACCCTCTCATGGGTTGTCTGGGTTATTCTCGAGTGGATCAGATTCTTCTGCCTTTTCATGGCTATAGAGGTACTGCTTGGTGGTTGCCTTTCCCTCCTAGAACAAAATCCGTGGGCAGTTGGCACGTGTGTTATCTGGGCTTCCTCTGCCGGTTACCCACTCATGGGGAACAGCTTCTGGTTTTATTTTCTGAGCCGCCGCAGGCAGGGTAGGCATTGCGGCAGCCCATAGCCCCTTGGGGAGGGGCAGGCACGCTGGGTGTGCTCTCCTGCGAGAACTGCAACACTTAGCACCTTGTTCCGGCTTCCTCTGTGCAAGCCAGCAGGGCCTCTGAGTCTGGCCTGGTATTCTGTGGAGTAGGCTCTGGGAAGTTGCTGTGGGTGCTGCCCCTCTCAGGCTGCTCCCCTAGTATGGCGGGGCCATGCCGGAGGGGGAATGGACGGGAGGCTGTTTATCGCCATGAGGGGCTTCAGAGCTGCGCTGCCTCCTAGGATGCTGGAGCACCTGAATTTCCCTGGGATTCCCAGTTGCTGGGCTGAGTGTGCTTGGACACTTCCTTCCAGTTGTGAGGACCCTGTCCCTTTCATATTCTCAAAAAGCACTCGCTTTTCTTTTGTCTCACAGGCAACAACTGCAGGGACCCACCTGCAGATTTTACTGTTCCATTTCCCTAATATCCAGCACACCACACAATGTGTGTCTGTGCTCCCGGTGCGGATGATTAGGGCTGGGTATTTAGGAGTCCTGGGCTTCCACTCCCTCGCCACTCCAACTCCTCTCTTCCTGCTGGGGAGCTGGTGTGGGGAGGGCGCTCGGGTCCCGCCGGGCTGCAGCTTGTATCTTACCCCCTTTGTGAGGCGCTGAGTTCTTGCAGATGTAGATGTACCCTGGCTATTGTACTGTACCTTCTGGTCTCTCTTTTAGGAATGGTTGTATTTGTTTTATTTTCAAAAATATATGTCATTTTCGGAGATTTCCCTGGCCCTACTCATGCCGTCATCTTGGCTCCTACCTTTTCCAATATTTTATCTGCAACCTGGGGAGTTATATTTGCTTCCCAATTTAAAAGCTGGCTAGGTTTTAGAAATCCAATGTGATAAACATACAGCATAGCATACAACACTTCTAGCGGCATCTCATCTAGCTACCTGTATGCAAATATCCATGTTCTCATATATTCACTCATGGAATGTATGTGTCATCAAGTGAAGTAGGATTAAAAAAAACTATGAACAGCCTATATCAGCTCAGGTTAGGTTTTACCAAACACATGAAAAACCTTAAAGTATTCAACTTTTTTTGAAATTTGTCCTTGTAGACAAAGAATTATAGATCTGTATGTTTTTTCAAATAATTATAATCCCATGGTTTGTAATTTGTAGGCTCAATTTTGAATTCCACTATTTAGTTATTTCTATCCTCTACTGTTTAATACATAATGCACTATGACACCAAAGCAATGAGTTATCATTTATCCATGTTTCTTTGATAAATGTATGTAATTTCTAGTTTCTCCCTATTAGAAACAATGCCACTACAAATAATTTTGTTCACATATATTGTTCCTTCGAATGCTTTCCTTAGAATAAGTGCCACAATATAGGTCGCTAGGTCAAAAAGAATTAAAGCCTTTTGTTTCTTAAAACACACTGGTAAATATCCTTTGCAAAGTGCTATGCTAATTTACAATGTCTCTAGTAAAACTTAGTGTTCTTGTCAGTCTCATTAACTTTGGATCTCCAGTTCTCCTTTTTGGGGGGCCAGCTTAATAGNATTCCTGGAGATCCTTTTATCTCTCTGCCTCAGCTTCTCTGTGTTCCTATTCTCTGATTTCTATTCCATTAGCGGCTTCTTGCACCTCGCCAAGTCTACTCTTAAGTCCTTCCAGAGATTGTTTTATTTCTGTATTCTCCCTCCTAACTTGATCCTTTAGCACTTGCATATTTCTCTTCAGGTCCATCAGCATGGTTAGGACCTTTATGATGAATTCTTTGTCAGGAAGATTGGTTAAATCTATCTTCCCAGGCTCCTTCTCAGGGGTTGTCTGGGTGATTCGGGCCTAGATCAGACTCTTCTGCCTTTTCATGACTATAGAGGTCTTGCTTGCTGGTCGCCTTGCCCTCCTAGAACAAAGTCCATGGGCAGTTGGCATGTGTGTTAGCCGGGCTGCCTCTGCTGGTTACTTGCACATGGGGAGCAGCTTCTGGTTTTATTTCTTGAACCGACGCGGGCGGGGCAACCATCCGGACAGCCCAGAGTCCCACGGGGCGGGGCAGGTATGCTGGGTGTGCTCTCCTGCGAGAACGGCGACCCTTAGCGCCTTGTCCCAGCTTCCTTTGTCTGTGTGCACCAGCGGGGCCTCTGAGTCTGGCCAGGGTGGCTGCAGAAGAGGCTCTGGGCAGTTGTTGTGGGTGCGGCAGCTCTCAGGCTGTTTCCCTGCTATGGTGGGGTGGCACTGGAGGGGGAATGGACGGGAGGCTGTGTATCGCCGTGAGGGGCTCCAGAGCTGCGCTGCTTCCCACGGGGCTGGAGTGCCTGAATTTCCTCGGGATTCCCAGCTGCTCGGCTGAGTGTGACGGGAGGCTTCCATCCTGCTGTGAAGCCCCTGTCTCTTTAAGACTTTCAAAAAGTACTCGCTTTTTTTTGTCCCAGGGTCGCCGGCTGCGGCGTCCTGCTCAGAGATTTTACTGTTCCGTTTCCCTAATATCCAGCATACCACACAACGTGTGTCTGCGCTCCTGGTGCGGATGACTAGGGCTGGGTATTTAGCAGTCCTGGGTTTCCACTCCCTCCCTGCTCTGACTCCTCTCCTCCTGCCGGGGAGCTAGGGTGTGGGGGGCGCTTGAGCCCACCAGGCTGCGGCTTGTATCTTACCCCATTCGTGAGGCACTGAGTTCTCACAGATGTAGATGTAGCCTGGCTGTTGCACTGTACCTTCTGGTCTCTCTTTCAGAAATAGTTGTATTTGTTGTATTTTCAAAAATATATATGGTTTTGGGAGGAGACTGCTGCTGCCCTACTCACGCCGCCATCTAGGCTCCTCCCTTTTCCGATATTTTATCTGCAAACTGGGGAGGTATATTTGCTGCACAATTTAAAAACTGGCAGGTTTTAGAAAGGCAATGTGATACACATACAGCATAGCATGGAACATCCCTAGTGGCATCTCGTCTAGCTACCTGTATTCAAATATCCATGTACTCATACATTCACGGAAAGTATGCGTCATCAAGTGAAGTGGGATTAATAAAAACTATGAGTAGCCTGTATCAGCTCAGGTTAGGTTTTACCTAACACATGAAAAACCTTAAAGTATTCAACAGTTTTTGAAATTTGTCCTTATAGACAAAGAATTGTAGATCTGTACTTTTGTCCAAATAATTATAATCCCATGGTTTTTAGTTTGTAAGCTCAATTTTGAATTCCACTATTCAGTTATTTCTATCCACTACCATTCAATACATAATGCACTATGACACCAAGTCAATGAGTTATCATTTATCCGTGTTTGATAAATGTATGTAATTTCTAGTTTTTCCCAATTAGAAACAATGCCGCTACAAATAATTTTGTTCACTTATATTGTTCCTTCAACTGCTTTCCTTAGAATAAGTGCCAAAATACAGGTCACTAGGTAAAAAGAATGAAAGCCTTGTGTTTCTTAAAACACACTGGTAAATATATTTGCAAAGCGCTATGCTAATTTACAATGTCTCTAGTAAAACTTACTGTGCTTTTTAGTCTCATTAACACTGGATCTCCAGTTAGCCTTTTTTGGGGGCCAGCTTAATAGTGTATTAATGTATATATTATTTTTTAAAATTAGCATTTCTCTCATCACTAGTAGTGAAATTAATACATTCTCGTGTGTGTGTGTGTGTGTGTGTGTGTGTGTGTGTGTGAATTCTGTGTTCATTTTCTTTGCCTGTTGTTTATCATGTATATTGGAATAAGTTCTTTAAGGGTTAACTTTTTATCATGTTATAATTATTTTACTCATTTTATTGAAGTTTAACTGGTTAGAATAAATTTTAGTAGGAATAAAAAGTCAGAAGAACAGAAAGTGAGTTCTTTTTGAAGATCCAAAGATCATTGAGGACCTTTGAGCATTCAAGAATATTTATTCTCATTTTTCATCTTTAACAGAAAAAACTACCATTACACCTTTCCAGACTATCTTGGAACAAATAATCATCAAATTTTATTCATTATAAACTAAAAATGAAAACAGTGGAAGTTAATGAAGCATAGCATCTAAAATTTGTTGGATTTTTAAAAAGTTAACTTACCTGCTGTTTTTCTTACCTCTATTCAAAGTAACTTTGGAAAGGCCAAAATCTGTTAGTTTAATATGACCTTCGTTAGAAATTAGCATGTTATCTGGTTTCAAATCCCTGTGCATACAAAAGATAAGTAGCAGATAACTAAAAAACAGCTAGTGTTGCTAACAGAATTACCAGGGAAAAAAATAGAAGGTTACAGAAGAATCAAATCCTATTTATTTTCCCTAAAATAAGGTACTCATTGGTGGCTTTCAAAGTGCAGAAAACAACTCTCAAAAGCAAACCATCTTTTGTATATTTGAATCTACAAGCAAGTTAATGGATTTAATGCTAGATTGTCTTTGGCATTACTCATTACATACTCCATTAAAATAAATAAGCTTCATCAGATAAAATAAACCATAAGCCTGGTCAAATCACATTTACCTCTTTCAAGGAGGGTAAGATTAAGCCTTAAGAGAAAAGCCACATAACCTGATTTTCTTTGCACCAAGCAAAACACTGTAAATCAGCTGGGGTTATAAAATGTAGCACTTGGTATGATGGTAAAGGAGTGGAGAAAAGATGCAATATTCTTGAAAATAAAATGGCACACCCACAGTCAAAACAACGAATTGAAAAAACACACAGAGACGAAAAAAACAGTTGACTGTATTTCTAAACTCACAGAAGTTACTACCAAGCTTTAGATAACCCAGGTAAATAGGCAAGTGGTAATGCAAATATTTAAGACTCAAATATCCGATACAAATTTGATAAGCTATGATTTTTAGTAACAGTTTGGAGAAAAGTCAGTCTTTACCTGTGGATGATTCCATGTCTGTGAAGATAGTCTAGAGCCAATGCTACCTCAGAAATGTATTTCACAGCCATCTCTTCATCGAAATAACCATATATATGAAGGAGGGACTTGACATCCCCACCAATAAGATATTCCATTACCTATCAAAAGGGAATATAAATGTGGCAAACAAAACCACTACTATTAAATGTAATGTGAGCATATTTTTAGCATAGTTCTACAATAGATACATTTTCTTGGTATTACTCAGTACACATTAATTCCAGGTTTGCTCATGTTGCCACAGGTTTTTCATTTAAATTAAGCTGTTTAAAAACTCAGACTTACAGAAAAGGTGTAATAATACTAGAACGATATCCCATATACTCTTCCATCTAGATTCACCAGTTCTTAGCATTTTGCCACATCTGCTCACTCTTCCTCTCCACATATATGAATATGAAGTAAATATTTACACTAATCACTAATTATGTTAGAAAATAAACATAACAATACAATAATATCATTAATCTAAATTTCTTACATGCATGTATTTTTGTTCAGAATAAGCAGTTTAAAAAATATGGCAACATTAGAAACTGGTATTAATATATAACTTTTAAATTCTTGCTGAAGAGGAGGAGAAAAGATGGCCACGTGAGTAGTGTGGGTGAAATCTCCTCCCAAAACCACATATATTTTGAAAATACAGCAAATACAACCATTCCTAAGAGAGTGACCAGAAGTAATGGTACACCAGCCAGTCTACATCTGCGAGAACCCAACATCTCACAGAAAAGGGAAAAGTAGTGGGAGGACTCCCACTACTGCAGCACACCGGCGGGAGGAAAAGAATCAGAGCAGGGAGGTAGAGGAAGCACAGCACTGCTCAATACCCAGCCCTAGAAATCTACCCCAGGAGCACAGACCCACACTGCATAGTGTTCTGGAGATAAGAGGGGCAGAAAAGCAAAGTCTGAGACTAAGATTGCGAATAGGTTCCCACAACTGGCTGCCCTAGGACAAAAGAAAAACAGGTGCTTTAAAAGACTTCTCTTTTAAAGGGGCAAGGATTTAGGAGAAGGAAAGGTGGACAAAATCATCCTGGAACACTCAGCCCAGCAGGCTGGGAACTTTCAGGATCTTTAGGTGCCCTATCCCCCTGGTTGGCAACGCAGCCCCAAGGCCCCTCACCATGACAAGCAGCCTGCTGTTCCTTCCACCATGCAGGCACCTGCGAGAAAACTGTCTGTCCCGGCCATTGAGGCAGACCAGCTGGAGGGCAGCCTGACCTACAGCAACTACCCAGCTTAACGCAGAGGCTTCTCTCTGCGCACGGCTAATGAGCCCAGACCCAGAGGCTGCTCCCTGCACACAGTTGACAGGCAAAGACTGCAGAGACAGGCGCTGAGACCAGGAAGCACGAAACAGCTTTGTTCTCGTGGGTGCTGCACCTCTCGACTGTGACCCCCGCCATCACCCTAGGTCATCCCAAGGGCAACCCCACCCACAGCAGTTTAGGGGATTAACCCACAGGCTGCTCCCTGTGCGTAGTTAACTGGCACAAACAGCAGAGAGAGGCATGGTGACCAGCAAGCAGGAAGGGACTTTTTCCTCCCAGCTGACACCTGCGCCACTCGCCTGCCACCACTCCCATTGCTCCAGGACTATGAAAAGGCAGAACCTTGTTCAATCCAAAAATCCCTCAAACACCAGAAAGAGGGTTTGGTGAGACTGAAATCACAAATCTCCCTGAAAAAGAATTCAAAATAAAAGTTACAAGCATCCTAATGGAGCTACAGAAAAATATTCAAGAGCTTACGGACAGATTCAGGAGGGAGATAACGGAAATGAAACAAAAAATGGAGGGATTTAAAAGCAGATTAGGTGAGGTAGAGGAGACAGTAAATGAAGCAGAAATCAGAGAACAGGAACATAGAGACGCTGAGGCAGAGAGATAAAAAAGGACCTCCAGGAATGAAAGAATATTAAGAGAACTGTGTGACCAATCCAAACAGAACAGGTGGACAAAAATGCATTACAGGGGTATCAGAAGAAAAAGAAGAGAGAAAAAGGGATAGAAAGTGTCTTTGAAGAAATAATTGCTGAAAACTTCCATAATATGGGCAAGTAAATAGTCTATCAGGCCATGGAAATCCACATATCTCCCAACACAAGGGACCCAAGGAGGACAACACCAAGACATAACAAAAATTAAAATGGTAAAGATCAAGGACAGAGTATTAAAAGCTGTCAGAGAGAGAAAAAAGATCACATACAAAGGAAAACCCATCAGATTATCAGTAGATTTCTCAGCAGAAACTGTACAGGCCAGAAGGCAGTGGCAAGATATATTCAATGCAATGAAACAGAAAGGCCTTGATGCAATAATACTCTACCAGCAAATTTATGATTTAAATTTGAAAGAGGGGTTAAACAATTCCCAGGTAAGGAAAATGAGGAAATTTGCCTCCCACAAACCATCTCTACAGTGTATTTTAAAGAGACTGCTCTGGATAAAGTGTGCATAAAACGAAATAGCTGTTACCAGAGAAAATAAAACCACAGAAAAGGAAGTACACCAACTAAATACTAACCAAATGTATAATTAAATCAGCTACTCACAAAGTCAGTCAAGGGATACACAAAGAGTACAAAATATGACGCCAAACATAAAAAAGTGGAGGGGGACGAAAAAGAAGGGAGAGAAAAAAGAATAATCAGACTGTTTATAATAGTGTAATAAATGAGTTAAGGTAGACTGCTAGATAGTAGAGAAGCTGCCCTTGAACCTTTGGTAACACAAATTCAAAGCCTGCAAAGGCAGTAAGTAAATATCTATCAATAATAATCTTAAATGTAAATGGACTGAATGCACCAATCAAAAGACATAGAGTTAGAGAATGGGTGAAAAAGCAAGACCCATCTAACTGTGGCCTAAAGAGACTCATTTTAACCCCAAAGACATACAGAGACTAAAAGTGAAGGGATGGAAAAAGTTATGTCAAGCAAACAATAGGGACAAAAAAGGAGGAGTTGCAGTCCTTGTATCAGACAAAACAGACTTCAAAAGAAAGAAAGTAAGAAGAGGCAATGAGGGACATTACATAATGATAAAGGGGTCAGTCCAACAAGAGGATATGACCATTATAAATATCTATGGACCCAACACAGGAGAACCTACATATGTGAAACAAATACTAAGAGAATTAAAGGGGGAAATAGAATGAAATGCATTCATTTTAGGAGACTTCAACACATCACTCCCTCAAAAGTACAGATAACCCAGACAGAAAATAAGTAAGGAAACAGAGGCACTGAACAACACATTAGAACACATGGACCTAACAGACATCTATAGAACACTCCATCCAAAAGCAGCAGGATACACATTCTTCTCAAGTGCATATGGATCATTTTCAAGAATAGATCATATACGAGGCCATAAAAAGAGCCTCAGCAAATTCAAAAAGACCAAAACTGTACCAATCAACTTCTCAGATCAAACTAGAAGTGAACTGTACAAAGAAAACAGAAAGGCTCACAAACACATGGAGGCTTAACAACATGCTCCTAAATAATCAATGGATCAATAACCAAATTAAAACAGAGATCAAGCAATATATGGAAACAAATGACAACATCAGCGCAATGCCACAACTCCTGTGGGACACAGCGAAGGCAGTTCTAAGAGGAAAGTATATAGCAATCCAGGCCTATTTAAAATAGGAAGAACAATCCCAAATGAACAGTCTAAATTCACAATTATTGAAACTGGAAAAAGAAGAACAAATGAGGCCCAAATTCATTAGAAAGAGGGAAATATAACAATCAGACAAGAAATAAATAAAATTTAGAAGAATAAAAGAATAGAAGAAGAATATGAAACCAAGAGCTGGTCCTTTGAAAAATAAACAAACTAGATAAGCTGGTAGCCAGACTTATCAAGAAAAAAAGAGAATCTACACATGTAAACAGAATCAGAAAGGACAAAGGAAAAATCATGACAGACACCACAGAAATACAAAGAATTATTAGAGAATACTATGAAAAACTATATGCTAACAAACGATAACCTAGAAGAAATGGACAATTTTCTAGAAAAATACAACCTTCCAAGACTGACCCAGGAAGAAACAGAAAATCTGAACAGACCAATTACCGGCAATGAAATTGAAACAGTAATCAAAAACTACTGGACCAGATGGCTTGTCCACTGAATTTTATCAGACATTTAGAGAAGACATAATACATATTCTCCATACAGTTTTTCAAAAAATACAAGAGAAGGGAATACTTCCAAACTCATTTTATGAAGCCAGCAACACTCTAATATCAAAACGAGGCAGAAGGCACCACACACACAAAAAACTACAGACCAATATCCCTAATGAAGATAGATGCAAAAACACAAAACAAAATATTAGCAAGCTGAATTAAAAAATACATCAAGAGGATCAGACATCATTATCAGCGGGATCCGTCCCACGGATGCAAGGATGGTACAGTATTCAAGAATCTATCAACATCATCCACTGTATCAATAAAAAGAGAGACAAAAATCACATGATCATCTCCATAGACATCAAAAAGCATTCGACAAAATTCAACACACATTCATGATAAAAACTCCCAACAACATGGGTACAGAGGGCAAGTACCTCAACATAAGAAAGGCCATATATGACAAACCCACAGCCAACATCATACTTAACAGTGAAAAGCTATCAGCTTTTCCTCTAAGACTGGGAACAAGACAAGGATGCCCGCTTTCCCCACTTTTATTCAACATAGTAGTGGAGGTCCTAGCGCAGCAATCAGACAACACAAAGAAATAAAAGGCATACAGATTGGTAAGGAAGAAGTTAAACTGTCCCTGTTTGCAGATGATATGATATGGTACATAAAAAACCAAAAAGAATCCACTCCAAAACTCCTAGAACTAACATTGGAATTCAGGAAAGTAGTGGGTAACAGAATTAATACGCAGACATCTGTTGCATTACTATACAGTAATGATGAACTAGCAGAAAGAGAAATCAAGAAAACAATTCCATTTACAATTGCATCAAAAGAATAAAATACCTAGGAAAAAAACCTAACCAAGGAAGTGAAAGACCTATACCCTGAAAACTACAAGACACTCTTAGCAGAAATTAAAGTAAAGAAGACACTAACAAATGGAAATTCATCCCACGCTCTCGGCTAGGAAGAATTAATACTGTCAAAATGGTCATCCTGCCCAAAGCAATCTACAGTTTCAATGCAATTTCAATCAAAATACCAACAGCATTTTTCAAAGAACTGGAACAAAAAGTTTTAAAATTCATATGGAACCAGCAAAGACCCCGAATAGCCAAAGCAATCCTGAGAAGGAAGAATAAAGTGGGGGGGATCTCGCGTCCTAACTTTAAACTCTACTACAAAGCTACAGTAATCAAAACAATTTGGTACTGGCACAAGAACAGACCCACAGACCAGTGCAACAGGATAGAAAGTCCAGATATTAACTCAAACATATATGGTCAGTTAATATATGATAAAGGAGCCATGGACATACAATGGGGAAATGACAGCCTCTTCAATAGCTGGTGTTGGCAAAACTGGACAGCTATATGGAAGAGAATGAAACTGGATCATTGTCTAACCCCATACAGAAAAGTAAATTTGAAATGGATCAAAGACCTGAATGTAATTCATGAAACCATAAAACTCTTAGAAGAAAACATAGGGAAACCTCTCTTGAATGTAAGCATGGGCAACATTTTCATGAACATATCTTCCTGGAAAAGGGAAACAAAAGCAAAAATGAACAAGTGGGAATATATCAAACTAAAAAGCTGCTGCACCACAAAGGGCACCATCAGTACAACAAAAGGGCATCCTACAGTATGGGAGAATATATTTGTAAATCACATATCTGACAAGGGGTTAACATCCAAAATATATAAAGAGCTCATGCACCTCAACACCCAAAAAGCAAATAACCCGATTAAAAAATGGGCAGAGGTTCTGAAGAGACAGTTCTCCAAAGAAGAAGTTCAGATGGCCAACAGGCACATGAAAAGATGCTATTCATCAGAGAAATGCAAATTAAAACCACAATGAGATATCACCTCACACTAGTTAGGATGGCCAACATCCAAAAGACAAAACAAGAAATGCTGGGGAGGATGTCGAGGAAGGGGAACCGTCCTACACTGCTGGTGGGAATGTATATTAGTTCAACCATTGTGGAAAGCAGTAGGGAGGCTCCTCAAAAAACTCAAAATAGAAATACCATTTGATCCAGGAATTCCACTCCCAGGAATTTACCCTAAGAAAACAGGATCACAGATTCAAAAAGACATATGCACCCCTATGTTTATTGCAGCACTATTTACAATAGCCAAGATATGGAAGCAACCAAAATGTTCATCAGTAGATGAATGGATAAAGAAGATGTGGTATATATGCACAATAGCGTATTATTCGGCCATAAGAGGTAAAGAAATCCTACCATTTGCAACCGCATGGATGGAGCTAGAGGATATTGTGCTCAGTGAAACAAGCCAGGTGGAGAAAGTTAAGTACCAGATGATTTCACTCTTCTGTGGGGTAGAACAAGCAAAAACTAAGGAACAAAACAGCAGCAGACTCACGAACCCAAGAATGGACTAACAGTTACCAAAGGGAACGGGACTGGGGCTGGTGGGTGGGGAGGGATGGATAAGGGGATTAAGGGGAACTACGGGGAGACACTGTAGCACAGAGAGGACAAGTAGTGACTCTATAGCATCTTATGATGCTGATGGTCAGTGACTAATGGGGTTTGTGGTTGTGACTTGATAATATAGGTGAATGTAGTAACCACAATGTTGCTCATGTGATTGTATATCAATGATACCTTAATAAAAAAAATTCTTGCTGAGTTATTCAAGAATATTGTTGAAGAAGTCATGCCCTATCAACCACTAAATTCTTCATCACATATCTCCTAATAATGATATTCTTGTATAACTACAGTGTAATAAAATTCAAGGAAGTAAATGCAAATATGTTGTTTAATGTAAAGAAATTTCTCTGATTATCTTGATTTTGCCTCATTTAGCATCTTTCCTCATTTCCTATGCTCAAACCAGGATCATACATCGTATTTAGTTTTCCTGTCTCTTTAGTCTCCTTTAATCCAGAACAGGTTTTTGCTTTTTTTTAGGGCATGGTGGAGGGAAGTCTTTCATGACCTTTGATTATTTCCTCATGAGTCATGCTACGCATCTTTGGCATATGCAATGCTGAGTCCTTACTGATTCACACCAGATGAGACACCTAGTTAGCGTGTTCTATTACTGGTAATGTTAACTTTGACCACTGACTTAAGGTGGTGATATCAGATTTCTCCACTGAAGAAGCACTGTACAGAAACTGGGCCAGTTTGCCAACCAGTGGCTTAAAAGACAGAAAGTCAATTATTCTTACAGTATTTGGTTTTCATCTTCTTACTGTTACTATATATATATGCTTTTTGGACTTGTTCAAGACAGTTTATCATGCTGAAAAGTAAACCCCCATCTCATGCTTTCTCAGATCCTTGGGGTTTCCTGAAGGGCTGTACTTAGTCTTGCTCTGAGGGTGATTTCTAATACAAATTTGTATCTTTACTCCAAATCCTTCCCCCCCAGCATCACCAGGTCTTATTCCCCACGGAGAAGGTCATTACAACCATGGATTGCAATTCATGGTAATGTATTCACTGGAGTTACTTCAAATAGCAAACAAACAAACAAATAAACAAACAAAATCAACTCAACAGTAGGGCATTCACTAAAAAAATTATGGAATTCATAAATAAATCCATGGGATTCCATGCAGTCATTAAAAAAGATGAGGTCATCACTAAAAGGAAAAAATAAGTGGAAGAATAGCATTTACAATATGATCACATTTCACATGCATTCATCGAAACAACTGTGGTTTGTAAAAAACTTAAGTTTATCTTGAATTAGTCCTAATGCAAAAAAGGGGCTCACCACTGTCCTCAACAAACTTTTTACTCTCCAAAGTTTTCTGTCCTTCCCATTAAATCTTTGCAACCACATTTAACATCAGTCTAAATATATTCACAGATTTACTGAAAGATTAGGAGTGGATTTAATCATCAAGTACCAAGGGAGTTTTAGATCAGACTCTTTTTATGGCCTATCCTGAATTTTCAGGTCTTTAGCTTAAAGCTGGATATCATGTTCTTCCACATCAGAGTTCTGCTCAGTCTCAAGCCAGTATAGCATAAAGTTGCAGTGTGGCACGATTATGTTCCAGGGTCACAGACAGCTTGAGCATCAAAGGCAATCAAATTATGAAAGGAATGAGCCTTCTGCTAATAAACACATATATCCCATGTCTAAATTCTACATTTTAAAGGCCTATTCATTCATAGAAAACCATTTGTACATACTAGACGGAAGCTACTGGAGTTATCAAACATTTAATCCACAGACCTTATCTGAAGTCAGAACTTTGAGAATCTGTGGTCAAAATGGCCTTGCCTCTTGCTGTCCCCCTCAAATTCCTCACTAGAATTAATACTGAGCTGTTGCTTTCAATGAAAAGCAAGAACTCTCAAAGTCCACACACCCAAAACTTACCAGTTCCTAGTAGATTTCCTTATTATATACCAAACTTTTATACAGTGTATGTCGAGTATATGTCCTGTGCCTACAAAATATTCTGGCACTATGTTCAGACACTGTTCCATATGCTTCAAAATAACCTTCAAGGTAAGGCATGGACTATTATTATCTCCATTTTGCAGGCGTGGAAACTGAGGTATGGCAGTTAATTTTATGCATCAGTTCGGCTAATCCACAGTACCTAGACATTTGGTGAAACACCAATCTAAATGTTCTTACGCAGGTATTTAAATCAGTAGACTGAGTAAAAGCTGATTTTTCTTTCCAGAATATGGGTGGTCCTCATCCATTCAGTTGAAGGCCTTACAAGATCAAGGTCGTGTCCTAGTCTTTCCCTCCCTTCCACTGCTGCCCCCCACCTCAACAAACACGCAAGAGGGAATTTTCTGTCTCTATACTGCTTTTGGACTTGAGCTGCAACATCAGCTCTTCCCTAGGTCTATAGCCAGTGTGCCTACTCTTTAGTTTTTCGACTTGACAGCCCTCACAAGCACACAGGGCAATTCCTTAAAATAAATCCCCCTCTCCACACATACACAGACACCCTATTAGTTCTTTTACCCTGGAAAACCGTGGCAAATAGAACAGGTGCGGTAACCTGGTAACTTGGCCAAGGTCCTAAAGCTAGTAAGTTAGGAGTTGGGATTCAAACCTAGGTACTCTGAACCCAGACACTATCTGAAGTCAATGAATTCAGTGATTAAAGGATGAAGAAAGAAATGTAAAATTACTTACTCACCAAGTAGACGTTGTTTGCTGACTGCAGTGAGTAGTACAAATGGACAATGAAAGGACTTTTGCTTAGTGCCAGTGCATCCCTCTCAGCTTGTACCTGATGAGTCATATTTTTGTTGATCATGTCTGCTTTTTTGACAACCTATAGTAGATAACACGACAACAGACACATTCACTTTATTTTTTATTATAAGGTGTTCCCAGGTTTCAAAGATGCCTTCATGATAACAACCAGAGAGAGAAAGCAGATATCATTTGGATCTCACATTGTCATCAGGAAACTCTGCCCGAAAAAAAAAACTTTCCTCAACATAGAAGTGCTTATCTTGGTATCAAGTAGCAAAAGTATCGCTTCCCTTTTGAGAAGGAAAAAGAAGTAAACAAATTCCCGACTGCCCTACATATTAGGAGAAGATCCTGTTCTGCTGTTCTTCTAACAAAGCCAAAAGATAGTAATATTCCTAATAAGTCCCCAAATAATCAGGAATCTAGGCACAGAGAAACAGTAGCTAGTAAGATTTTTTTTTTTTCCTTCTGATTCCTTGACGGACGGGAATAGAATCAGAAAGAGGAAGAGTGTAGAAAGTTTCTCTTGCCTAGGGGAAAAAAATCTTGAGAATGACTCGAACTCCTGAAATTTAAGTCTCAAATGCTGTCCTACAGAAAATAACTAATTACCCTTTCAGGTTTCAAGGTAATTGGTACAGAAGGAAAAGTACAATCTACATTAAAATTGGAGCACTAAAGTGATTCATCAGTACCAATGAGATCAATTCTCAGGACAATTACCAAAAAAAGGGCATATTCGTTCTAAAGATTCATTAGAGTATTGCCAGCATAAACATAAGCTCAGAAACAAAATAATACACATCATGCAGAGACTAGCCAATTGGCCTGGATATGGGAAAGATACAGTGGAAATTCAAAGCCAGAACTTGGAGGGTAACTGCTTTTCTAAGGCATTTGAACTTTAGCTTGCACATAACAGCCTAAGGAATACATGAAAAAATAAAAGTGATTCCAGTTAGGGGCCTATTATAGACTAGGTATGGAACTAAGGGCCTGATGAGCCTCAAAAACAGCATGCTAAGAAAAGCCAGATGCAAAAGGCCAAGGTGCTAGGTGTAACAGATAGAAGCAGCTTGGGTTCTCTGCCTTCATACTGTATTTGCCTCCTGCTTTTAACCTCTGGGCCAAAAGAAAATGAAGGAAAACGAACAGGCTTCTGAGCAGCCCTGCAGCCCTGCAGGTAGGCTTGTTCATCATCAAAAGGAATTTTGCTTACGGTTTGAGATTTCTGCAAACAGCGACTTACTCGAAGCTTGCCTCTCCCTAGGAGATGGGGACCTGGGCAGACTTGGGATGGAAGGGGTAATATGAATAAAAGGCAGAATGGACAGGACTAGTTGAGAGACAGGCTATACAGATCAAGTAAAGTTAAAATGACTCAATTTTGTAGGCTGAATGGCAGAGATGATGGTGGTGGTATTAAATGGAAAGAGGGAATACAGGAGTCAGAGTGGTTTGGTGGATAGGATTGTTCAGGTTGTAAACTGTTTCAAGTACAATTTCCAGGTGCCTGGTAGCTAGTCCCAGAGCAGTGTCCACAGGAGGCTGAAATTGCATCTGCACTCAGACTGCTGCTTTCTTCCCATCATCCAATCAAATCAGTGCTGAAATGTGAGTGATCTGAAACTATGGGAGTGGATGGGCACCAAGGTGGCCAGAACAGCTTCAAAACACTGAAAGCTTTTGAATGCATTCAGAATGATATATACACTGCTGCAAAGATAAAGGACTGATTTAGGACATCTTTCAGCTTAGGTCTTTAAAAGTACAGTCTAGATTTATATTGAAAGGTTTGAAGAGAAAAAAATGGGGCTCTATTAATATGGAAAGTAATCTGTGTCACAGCATAGTTAATAATATGGTATTATTTGAAAGTTGCTAAGATATTAAAAGTTCTCAGCAAGACAAAACAATTTGTGTCCTGACGGACCTTAACTAGATGTACTGTGATCATTTCGCCATATGTACAAATACTGAATCATTATAGTGTACACCTGAAACTCAGTATGTTCTATGTTAATCTTATCTCAATAACAAAAGAAATTAACCTATGTCGAACATATAGAATTAAAATGCAATTTGGAAATAACTGTTCCAAATTTAATCCAGGTAACGGCCAAATCAGTAAAAGGGGTGCCTAAGTTCTGGTGTCTCCTGTGTTTCGGCGCGAAGAGAAGGGCGGCGAAAAGGGCAGACACCCGTATTGCCCGCCCTGAGGTTACCCAAGCGGAGAGGTCAGCTCCAGGGCTCTGGGGGCTTTGGCAAGCCAAGGGACCTCAGTCTCACCGCTCCAGCGGCCCTGGGGCCTGCCCAATTCAGGGGGGCGGGAAGGAGGGCCGCTGGGCCGGACACTCCCTTTCTTCTTTACACCTTGACTTCTTACCTTCACCGCATACAACTTGTCGCCTTTTTGCCCGAGATACACCTTCCCGAAGGCGCCCCGGCTAATGGGCTTCACTATGTTGAATTCCTCAATGGAGGGAGGTCTCGGCACCGGAACCCTCTGCACGCAATCCCCTGTCGCCGCGCCTCCCCCGCTCTCCGTCTCTCTCCCCGCGGTGGGCTCCATCGCAGTGAAGCCCAACGCGGACCCCGCAGCCGCCGCCCAGGACCCCTAGCCGAACCGAAATTCCACCCAACAGGGTTCAAAGGGAGGCCCCGCCCACACCGCCCGCCGACGGGACGTTCCCGCGCTCGCCGCGCCCAGCCCAGCGCAGCCCCGCCCGTCACCTCCCCTTCGTAGGCGCCGAAGTACCCAGTGTGCCCAAGGCCGGGGAGACTCCCGGAACGGCCGCAGCCTCTTTCAGGTCAGTGACCAAGGCCCGCTGGCTTCAACGATAAAGACGAGAGAGGCACAACAAAAGGGTCCAAGGGTGACCTGAATCTGAATCGTGGGACTTAAAGGGTTTCACCAGAGCTCCCAACGAGGCTGGGGCGACCCTGCCCTCGTTGCCCCTCAACCTTTTTTAAAACTCCCTCGCGAGCTCCTACCCGTCCCCTCCCGAAATGTAAAGGAGTTGGGTCTGAGTACAGCGATGACGAATAGAAATCAGAATGTGAAGAAACTGGATGAACAGGAAGCGGGTGGCTAGCTTTGTAAGCTGGCATTTTTAACAGGATGTAAGTTGCCTAACTAAAAACAGGACAAACGGGAAAAGCTTTGGATTTATTGTGGGGAAGGTAAAGTGCACTAAATTGTAGCAAAAGGGGTATCACAGGTTCAAGACCCAGTCGGAACAGAATACCCTGGAAGATGCTAAGGAAATTGTAGAAAGATTGCACAGGGGCGATACAGTTCTTAAGAAAAAGAAAACTGCAGCCGGAGAGGTTTGGGGACCCAGCACTTGTATTATTCAACGTGCAGGTCCACTACTTCGGGGGTGGGGTGCAGCGAATGCGGGCAGCCCAGGGCGAAAGGCCAGCTCCCTGAGGTGGAACCTTGGGGCAAGCCCCGAGGGGCGGCGGGGCGGAGTGGGGCACGGGGGCAGCGGAAACGGCGGCGGGGGGCGCTCCCGTGTCCCGGAAGTACTGTTGCGTTACAGCCTTGCCTTCCGGGGCAGATTGTAAATCGTAGCAGCCGTAGGAAGGGAGGCCATTTTTCCCTTCCCAGGAAGAGTGAGGGTCGGGGAGGGAGAAAAAGGAGAGAAAAAACGGCTCAGCGCCTCCCCGCTGGCCCGCGGAGAGGTCGCCGAGTGCTCTGAGGAGATGTTTTCCCTTTCGAGCACGGTGCAGCCCCAGGTGAGTCCGGCATCTGCTCCCTTTTTTTCTCCGCCGCAGCCCGCAGCTGCCTGCCGTTTGTGTCTTGTGGACGCAGTTTCGTTAAGGGATGGTTGGAGGGAAGTGGTTAACCCAAAGCGAGTCTTGGGGTTGAGAAGGGATCAGGGACGAGAGAGTAAAGGGCTGATGGTGAAGCAGAGGCATGATCTGCGTGTGATGGAGACCTTGGCCTATCGAGTTGGTTGTGGAGTTTTTGCTGGAGAATCCATCAGGCACTGTTCAGTACCAGATCCTCTGGGGTGGAGGAAACATTTTTGCCCTAGATGTAAAGGAAGCAAGTAATGTTCCCTTTCTGTCTTGAAGGTCTGGTATTCACAACCTTTCTTTTCCTTTAAGTGGGATTTAACCCAAGCATGCTATAATTACTTGAGCAATCTTTCACGAGAGCTTTAAAAAATACTAGAAATGACACGTGTTTGCAATTTATTGACTGCTTGCAGTTCAAATTTTGAATCGGCCTGCTTTCCATCTCTTTGTAAAGCAAAAGACAGAGCAGAGAAAAATGAATCCAAAATTTTGTGATTAGCGTTTTTCAGGAGTAATCACTTGTGACAGTGTTTTGTTCTTGGTTCACTTAAAAATCCTTCTTGATGGTAACATTTTGATAGCTTCTTTTTTTTTGAGAGCTCTGTTTCACCAATGAATGTTTTTTTTTAAACATTCAGGTTTTAAAATAAATTTTATGACATTTTTGTCTCTTGGTTTTCATGTAACTGTGTTCCTTTGTGTAACTCTCAGTCCCTTGGTTTTGTTCTGTTTTTTGTTTTTTGTTTATACTGGCTGGATAATTTAAAAAATGAAGTGATTAGTTATTGGACATGAGCAATGTGCCGGGTGGACAGAACAAATGTGGATAGAATCTTAGTGATGATTTAAAGTAAAAGATGTGTAGTAGCCAGATGAAGGGTGAATGGAAGTGAACAGGTATCCCAGGTAGATGGAAGGATATTTTAGATAGGGAAGAGTTTAACACATTGAGGGAACAAAGAAATAAGGCCAGTGCAGCTACAGCGGGGGTGATTAAATGGCTCAATGACAGAAATAAGGTTGGAGAGAGGCCTTGACGCAGTTCACACAGGGAGTTGTAATAAGGGACTTTGGATTACACTTTAAGTGTGTTGGGAACCATTGAATGCTTTTAATCATGGAGTGATATAATTTTTTTATTAAGGAATTACTGATATACACACTTATGAAGGTTTCACATGAAAAACAATGTGGTTACTACTACATTCACCTATGTTATCGAGTCCCTCCCCTATACCCCATTGCAGTCACTGTCCATTAGTGTAGTAAGATGCCACAGAATCACTACTTGTCTTCTCTGTACTACACTGTCTTCTGCATGATCCCCCCCCACACACCGTGTGTACTAATCATAATACCTCTCAATCCCCTTCTCCCTCCCCTTTGGTAACTGCTAGTCCCTTCTTTGAGTTTGTGAGTCTGCTGCTGTGTTGTTCCCTTTAGTTTTGCTTTGTGGTTATACTCCACGACCCTTATGCATTTTAAGGTGTGTAAGATGGTAAACACATTTAAAAGTCTTGCTTGGTTGTTTAATTGGTTGAGTACACTTGACTTTAAGTTGTAAAATTAGGAAAGGCACAGAAGGTGAACTTGTTCATTGAGAAGTGATCAAACCATCTCTTACATATGTCTAATTAAAATAAAATTTTAAAACTTTTCAAAGAAATAGAAAATGTCTTAAAATAACTTGATTACTGTATAAGAACTAATTATTTCTGACTCTAAAAATAATACGTGTTCATTACCAAAAATGATGAAAAGAAAAATGTAATTAAGAAAATAAAGGTAACTCATAATCTCATTACTCAGAGATCCCATTTTAAAATTCTTAAATGCTTTTTATCTGTGTAGAAATATGTGTGTGCATACTTTGCAAAAAGATATTATGATTTTACAGCCTACTTTTTTTCATTTAACACCATACTGTGAATTTACTTATTTATCAGTAACAATGGGATGAATGTTTTTAACTGGGGCCTGAAGTCAGATTATCTGGCTGGAATTCTTGCTCCTGTGTTTGTTTACCTGCTGAGTGACTTTGAACATGCCACTGAACCTATCTAAATTCTTGCTGTCTTCATCAGTTAAATAGGAAGTATCATAGTAGCTAATGTTTATGGCAATAGCTTAAGTCAAAACACGTAATTAAAACTGTGGCCTCTAGTAAGAACCCAGTTAATATATTTATCTATTCCAATGTATGTAGCCTCTACGGTGTGCATTGTTGCACTGGGATATAGCGTTGAATAAAGTAGAGAAAAACAGAATGTATGTAAATTATGTGAATATGATGTAAAACATTTTACCTTAAATAATTATATAAAGTGAAATGGAGAAACAAACTCACTTGACACATGGAACTTACATCCTAGAGGAAGAGTGCGGTATAATAAAAAGTAAATATTTAGTCTTTGTTCCCAGTTCTTGGCTGAGCTCTTAAAACCCTTGGAATTTCCTATGTGATGGGACTGTCTTGTTATTTTTAAAGAGACTCTTTGGGTCATACCTGGATTTATGCCAGATGAGGTGATATACAGGGTGGGGTGCTTAGAAAGCATAGCCTCAGGACTTGAGGTGGTCACCAAAAGGTCTAGTGTGTTTAGAAGTTGGAAACTCTGAGCCCCAAACTCCTAGCGTCTGGGAGAGGAGGGCTGGCCTGGAGGCTGAGCTCTGTAAAAACTCTTGAACAAGTTGATTCGAGGCAAAGATTCTCTGTGCAAGAGGGCGGTACACATGACCCTTCCTTACCTCACCCAGTGTACCTCCTCACCTGGCTCTTAATTTCTGTCTTTCATAATATACGGTTAAATGTAGGTATTTTTCCTTAGTTGTGTGAGCTGTTCTAGCAAATTATGGAACCTGCAGAAGGGGCTGTGGGAATCCCTGATTTATAGCTGGTAGAAATATGGGTGGCCTGGGACTTGTGACAGGCATCTGAAATGGGAGCAGTCTTGTGGGACAGAGCCCTTACCTGTGGAGTCTGCACTAACACTGGGTGATTAGTGTCAGAATTGCATTGAATTCAGGAGTCCAGCAATTGTTGGTTAGTGTCATAAAACAGGTTCAGACAGATAATAAATAATGTATTATAGATAAATAAGTAAATATATAAATGTGTTAGATAGTAAAAGTGTCAAGAAGAAAAATAGAGCAGAGAGGATAAGGAATATTTGCAGGGGAGGGCTGTTGAAACTTGCAGTAGGTTGGCTAGTGAAAAGGGTTGCAAAAAGATGACTTCTGAGTTAAGAATTGAGGCAGTGTGAGAGCAAGCTGTGTAATTAACTGGACAAGAGGGAATAAATAGCCAAGCAGAGTCCTTGAGGTGAAGGTCTGCCAGGCATGTTCCAGGAACAGCAAGGAAGCCAGTGTGGCTAGAGCAGAGAGAATGGAGGGCAACGTGGTAGTGGGTGAATTTGGGCAGGTAATAAAAGAGCTGTGAAGGCTTCTTTGGCTTTTATTGTAAATGAGAAGAAAAGCCATTGGAGGGTTTTGAGCAAAGGAGGATGACATCTGGCTTTGGTTTTGATACAGCAGATTCAGGGAGAGTAGTTACGAGGCTATTGCAAAAATCCATGTATAAATAATGGTGACCAGCATGGTGCAGTAGGAAAGTCGATGAGCATAAAATTCTCTTTATTGTCATACTTTAAAAAACAAGTCTGAAATACTTCATTTTGTTATTTATTTAGTCACTCCTCTAATTTCCAGCTTTCCACTAATTTTAAGTATTTTGATGAAGATTGTGATCTATGCATACGCAAGCATTTATGAGATCATTTTTTAAAATTCCTAGAAATTAGACTCCTGGGACAGTAAAATGCATGTATTTCTAATACTTCTGATGCACATGGCCAGAACACTAACCTGAAAGATTAACAGTTTTCTTCCTACTGTCAATGAATCAGAATACCTATTTATAAACTTTAATATTTGGTTTTGATATACAGTGTATCTTTAAATTAAATCCCAAATCCTGACAATAGAAATATATATTTTTTCATTTTATTTTAAAAAAACAACACCTAATTTCAACTTTTATCCTTTAGGTTACAGTTCCCTTGAGTCATCTCATCAGTGCCTTCCATTCACCAAAAAACACCTCTGTTTCTGTGGGTGCATCAGTTTCTCAAAAGCAGCATGGAGATGTAGCTCCTGACCATGAGGCTCCCAGCAGTGAGGTAATGGTATTTATCAGGGGTGTGGGAGCAAGCCTTTTTGATTTGTTAGCACATGGCAAATATGTTTGCAGTTTCTTTGGTTAGGTTATTTGTAACAAATTGTTTGATGTCTTCAGTTTGATCTCTTTTATGATAAAAGATGTCTCATTTTGGCTTTTTTTACATAATTGAAGTTACTTTGTTTTATTCTTTAATATTTAATTTGTAAAAAAATTTCACTTGGCACATTTATTTGGTATTTACTTTCTAGGTCACAACATGTGTGATGTCATTTACATATTCTTTTGTGTTGCTCCAACAGTAGCAGTTAACTGATCATACTTTTATTGCAAGTCTCAGGGGAGATAGAAAAACAGTAAGAAGTTATCTTCTGTTGCTTTAAAGGAGCTGATTCATTAGTGTAATTGAACAATTAGGATATAAGTACCTGAAAATGAAATGTATGAGCTGTGCAACTATACTATCACTCTTGAGGGGATTATAAAATCAGTGTTGCCTAGGACATAGGGAATTCCCAACCTAGGAACCTTTTGTTTATAAGGCTCATTTATACGATAGTTGCTTTTCAACTTTTCCTCAGCATTTGACCTTACTGAGCAGCTATTATTTTCAAAATATCTACTTCCCTGAAGTGAGTGATGTTACACTGATGCTTTTTAAAATTTTCTTTCTGTTTTGCTGGATTTTTTATCATCGCCGACTCCTTAAATATTGGGTACGCTGTATGTTTATCTAATTGTCATTGTGCACCTTCTCCCAGGGTATGTTACCCATTTTCATGTCTTCACTTAACATCTGTAGTACATGTTGATGAAATTCCATCTACATCTCCAACCCTAAAGTCTCTAAAATTTTAACATAACTTATTTAGTGGCTTATAAAAACACCCCTCTGGAGAGATATCAAGGACCTCAAAATTAGGATGTTCAAAACTGAGCTACTCCCCCATGTTCCAGTGTTTGAGATCCTACAGTGGTTTCAGCACCTCTTCATCAGACTGAGTCCATCCAGGAGAGAGATACCACATACTCATTTGAATAGTGGAAGTGTCCTACAAAAAGTTAGTATAATTTTCAGTCTAGTATTTTAAAAATTCTTTTTCTTATATGGGATTGGAATAAGTAGGGATTGGCTAGTAATAAGGAAAGAAAACTCCAAAATATATAGGACTAGAGGTTTAAGAAGCAGCTCATCCTCCTAGGATGGAGAGAGCTTTGCAGGAAGAGTTCTCCACCCCCAGGCTGAGGTCCTGACCTTGTAGGGAAAGCATGACCTTGGTTCACTGAATGGCAGAGAAGTCTTTGGACCAGCTGAACTTGATGGAAATCTACCCTCTAGGGTCCCAGGGAAAGCTGTTCATGGAGATGGTGTCTTAATGGAAAAGCTGCTGGGTGCCTGCACTGGGCACTGGGCACTGTAGGAGCCATGCTGTGGAGAAGCAGGCAGGAACCAGGTCCTGGAGAGACCGTGTGTGTTGAGATAGGGCCTGCTGGGTGAGCTCCCCAGGACCAGGAGCCACAACCCTTTGCTTCTCCAGTATCTCTCCAGTGCCCCCTACTCAGAGTTTCACACTGACCATTGAGCAGAGGAAAGAGATTTAAAGGGCCCAGATCCATGTGATGAAGCCAACAAAAAGGATGAAGAGGAAAAATTGCTATCAACAAATGGATAACTGGCACATCCACACAGAATCCTTCTCCCTCTCAATCCCTGTGCTCTGCTGGTTTCTTCAAACGTCTGTTGTCTATGATTTGTTACTTCATCCTTCTTAGTTAGGGCTTAGTTCAGGCTCACACCTTTTCCCCTTGTCCTGTCATCCTTCTCTCATCCAGTTCACCATCTACTCTTTTCTTCTTTAAAAGAAGCAAAAACAAATTATGTTCGCTCTAGAATTAAATTCAAACACGGCTTTTCACACTCTGGCCGTAGCCCATCTTTCTAGTCCCTTCTTCAGTCACTAAACTTTTTACTACATCTCAACCACTCCAGGCCCTTTGATGTCTTTTTATTTGCCCCCTTCCCAAGGCTTCCTTCTTCATAATTCTGCAAAGTAGGTGTTGCCTCAGGGAGGCCTTAGTTGACTTAGGAAACTAGTTGCTGTGTGTTCTGTGTTCTCTCACCACTTAAAAAAAATATCTCTGTAATGGCGCTTGACCATTCTGTATAATTACCATGTTTATATGTACCTTATTTCTCTTTATGTTCCTAGGACCTGACACCCAATGAGTAAGAAGGGGACTAATTTTCGGTCTTACTTCAGAATCTGTTTCCCTTTTGAGGTCTGAATTGTAAATAGGCTTTTTGGTTTCCTTTTGTAAAAGATTACTTGAGAGGTAGCTCTTCAATATTGTAGTCCTTCTATTTTCATTTCTTTAATAATGAGCTTCATTTGTACAGTTTTTGGTAGTTTAAAAAGCACTCTTAAATATTTTATTTCCTTATGCCTTTAACTAGCTCACTGTACTTAAGGGTATGTATGTGAGTTAGGCGTGATCTCTTCTGTTGAGCCACATGATCTCATTGTGAAATAGGCAGGGCATATTTCATAGTGACTAATGCGGAAATGGATTCTAAGAGTGTGAATGACTTGTCACACAGCTTGTAAGTGACAAATCCCTGGACATCAATCCAGAGCTATATAATCCATGCATCTAACTTCACATCAATCATAAGAAGTTGGTACTTTATTTGGTCTGTTTAATTTTGTTCTCCTTACTTGAAGTTTTAGCTTCTGGGGGCTTTTAGTTAATACTTGTCTTTAATGTCTCCTTGTCAGCTCTTGTAAGAGAAGAAAATAACTCACCCTTATTTGTAGTGACTTTAGAACTGTTTTGAGGTGAGTGTATTTTATTGCCTGGTTTCTCACATTTTTTGCCTTGTTCAGTTTCGTCCTAATTAGAAGTTAAATTATGGGTAACTATAGAGCCTCTCGGTCCAAAGAAGTTTCAGTAGTGAGGCCAGAGGAGTGAAATGTCCCATTGTAACAGAGAATACCCTTTCTTTGTCAGATGGGTTTTTGTTTATGGGCATCAGGGCCTGCAGGACACTTTAAAGGTCCATGGACTGGTTCTGCCATTGGGAATATGATTTTTTTACCCTTTGCCAAACCTCAGTAAAACTAAAACTTAAAGTATTTGCACCAACTTATTTTTTAAATATTAGGAAGAAAAGAGGAATCAATAACATTTGTTAGGCTTTAGAAATACATATTATTTCAATTGTTTCAGTGGATAGGAACCTTTCAATTAACTGTCTTGATGATAATGTTTACTTGGTTGACTTAAATCTTTTACAGCCTGTACTTAATTTAAGGGACCTTGGATTATCTGAATTAAAAATTGGACATATTGATCAACTGGTAGGCGGTCTACTTCCTGGATTTTGTAAAGGCAAAAGCATTTCTTCCCATTGGCATACATCTCATGTCTCTGCACAATCCTTCTTTGAAAATAAATATGGTAAGTGAATATATTTTATGTTCCAATTAAAGTAAGCCATTTTAGTACTATTCATGACTTAAGAGATACCATTTATCATTTACAATTGTTTTGTGCCAGGCTCCTTCATGAGTTGTTTTCTTTTTTTTTTAGGGGTCAGTTTTTCTCACTGGAATCATTTTAGATTTGCAAGGATAGCACAGAGCTCCCGTATACCCTAATGCGTGACTTCCTCTAACTTTGAGCACCTCAATAATCATGTTTTGACATTTGTGAAAACTAAGAAGTTAACATTGGTACAATACTTTTAACTAAACTGTAGGCTTTATTTAGATTTTACCAAATGAAACAATTTCACAAACACTAGTCACTGTTTCTATTCGGGTCCTTTTTCTACTTGAGGATCTATGAAAGTATACTAGATCTGACATTTAGAATAATGGAGTGTTGTTCTAAGTTTAGGTGACAAACATGTATTAGATTCCAGTTCTCTGAGAATACATTGAATACATACTGATCATGGTCCTTTTTTAATGGACTATACGTATCTTAATTGAGTCTTGGAACAATCTAGTAGTATATAGTAAGTGGGCACTTTGTTGAAAGGCGTGTCAACTTCATCAATTTCTTTTCGGATGATACTTGAACAATGAATGTTAGCGGCTTATCAAAATACTTGTTGTGTATTGATGGAAGAAGATATTTTAAAAATCCATTCAAGTTACAGAAGCCCAGGAACAAAAGAGCAGGTTTGAACAGTTTTGTGACAAAGGTTTGATCTGAAGCTGTGCTTAATTAATTCATTTACTAATTTTTCATTATTTTGCCTTTATTTCATGTAAGGTCTGAAAGGTGAAGGATTCAGGAGTGAAGAAAAATGAAGTTTTTGAGGTTGGGGCTTGGATTAAAAATCTGCTTCTGTTTTGTTATTTTTTATGCTGTACTACCTCATTCCTGAGAGAAGCCCAGAGGCTTAGTGGTTAAGCGTAAGGAGACAGGCCCGAACTCAGTCTTACCACTGACTTTGGTATTTACTTCTCTAAGTTGCTGTTTTTCTCATGAAGTATGAGGGATAGCTCCTTATTTCATTTTGGAAGATCAAATGAAATAATCTAAGTACTGTATGTGGCCCATAGTGTTTGGGAGAGTAAAGTTTTTGTTAGTATTATTGTTTTATAGTAGTATTACTGTGACTTTGCTAGACTTCATGTTTACATTTCCATTAAAAAAGTTTTTTTTATTTCATCAAATGTACATCACAGTGGTTCAGTGGACCTCCTCCTCTCCCCCTGCCTACTCCCATTCCCCTTGGTAACCACTAGTCACTTCTCAGTGCCTGTGAGTCTAATTCTGTTTTGTTCTACATTTCCTCTTAAGGTCATTCCTTTTACTGCCAGCCGTCTTCTTGGCTTAGGCGGGCAGAGGTTTAAGGAAGCATTTATGGACTGGTCTGTGAAGTTCTTGGAAAAATCCCTGAATTCTAACTAGGATATGGGGATAGATGAGAGCCAGGTTCTATTGTCACTGCCCAACGGTCATGGATATAGAGTAAGATGGGGCCCGTTGACTTAAGAGTAGGAGTTAGGAAGGATCACCCAAGTATTTATGCTGTGCAGCTGTGGCAGGAGCTGTATTTGTACCAATGACTATGGAAGCTTCAAGAGATACAGTAGTACCTCAGGTGTGCTGTGTTTCATCACATTGTTCACTAGAGGTTGTGAAATTGTCTCTAGGAAATAGCTATTCTTTATCTCTTTATGCTGTGTACTAAAAGTAACTTCACATAAACAGGTATCTTTTACCTCTTGATTTGAATTTAACCTCACTGGCAGCTGTATTTGTATATTAGATAAAAAATACAATGAACAAGTGAGAGACAGCAAAATGATAAAGGACTATAGTTAGATTAGCAGTGCTTTAGGGTATTTAGTAAATGCATCGTCATTTATGGACAAAAGGCAAACAACTCATATTTTTGTTTTTTTTATATTTGGTGAAATAATTCCTTGGGGTTTTCGTGGCTTGGACATTAGAAATTTTACTCTTTTCAATTTCCCTCCAGGTTACTTAGGTAAATTTAGTACCTTACGTTCCTCTTGCTTGTACAGACAACCTTCAAGGACTCTGAAAAGTATTTGTTCAGATCTTCAGTACTGGTCAGGTATGAAGCAACAAGGGTATTTATTTTATTTTATTTTATTTTTTAGTGAAGTATCACTGATATACAATGATATTGGTTTCAAATGTACAACACAGTGGTTCAGCTGTTACCCATATTGTTAAATCCTTACCCCCGCTAGTGCAGTTACTATCTGTCAACATAAAAAGATGTTAAACTGTATTTATTTTGAAAATATTAATAGACTTATTTTCTATTTTCTGATTTGTCTTTCTTAATAATATTCATGACAGAAACATTCATCTGTAACTCACAATAGAACTTACAGAATATTTGGAATCAATTTATTTGTGTATGTCTGTAATTTTTAATCTAGAAAATATAAAATAGCCAAATTTGGAATGTGAATGACAGGTGCTTCAGTAAATCAAGATTTGGGGAACTTATTATCTAACCTGCTTCAAAATAATTAAGCACATTTGTTTACTTCTCCTTGTTTTCAAAATCTTACAGCAATGACTGAAAGAATAGAAAAATTTGAAAAAAGTGAGAGCAACATTAGGCAGGTTTCATCTGTGGACCAGAAATTTGAAGAGTTTCCATAAGTTAAGAAGTAGATGACATCACATTGATAGCAAAATCAAATATGCATTCATTCATATTTATTTAATGCCAGGCACTAGTGATAGGTGGTAGTTATAAATGAAAAAAAAAAAACCCATGTATTATCTGCCTTCATGGGACTTAGAGCAGAGTGACATGAAAGGGGTGTGTAGTCCTATTTCCAGCAGAACTTAGGAAAAAACCCTAAGTTCTGAATCAATACTAGTGGGCTTTGTGATGGTTGATAGGTCATCCCAGACAGGAAGTTGAAACATTGTCAAGAGTGCGCCAATCACAAAACAGTTATGGCTCATAACTTTTAGGCTACAGTGAGAAAAAAACACCTTTATAATCAGGGGTGTGTGTGTGTGTGTGGAGAGGAATCTGTCTCTGAAGACTCCTGGTTTGAGTATTGATACCAGAGAGAAACAAGACACTACCCCAGGTCACTTTGGACTTGAATCATACACAAACGGTATCCTGCTCATTCACCATAAATCCATGTTTATATTCTAAAAACATTTACCACCATGGTAGTTTTGGGAAAAACTGTCTACAATTAGTAATGATTAGTGAGTTCTTCTTTATGAATACAAATTGATTAGCAGTGATCTCCACATATTTGAGGAAAACTTGTATGAAAAAGCATAGGAAATGGAGGCATTAAGTTGGGCAAGGAGACAGTGATCAACTGAAGAAATGGTTAATGCAGTGGACAGATGATTACTTAAGAAGAGTGATGGATTTTTATATATTCATGGGAGACTTACAGAAAGCGTGTATTAGGGTATGAAGAATATCTTAAAACTTAGAAGTCAGGTTCTCTGATCATGTAATAAAACTGTAGTCAAATAACAAAGAATAGCTAAAAAAATAACCTGACTATGTAGAAATTTCTAAGTGTGTTGTGGCTGAAGGGAAATCCAAACTGAAATTTCAGTTAGTTAGTAGTGAACTACAGTGAAAACCTGCATATCAAAATCTTTGGATTCAGGATAAACTGATGTCAAAACCATAGTATAATTTATTAGGAAATAAGAAAGATGGGAAATAAATGAAACATTCACTTTGAGAAATTTTTTTTAAAGAATAGACGTTAATGTGGATAAAATAGACATTAAATGAGTACTATAGCAAGAAACAGTTTTGCTTAATTAAACCAAGAACAAGTTTAATTTGGAAAAAAAAAAACAACAGAGCAAACTAACAATCTGATTAAAAAATAATAAAGAAAATGATACTTTTCAAACATAATCCCTTTGTCCCAAAGGCACTGGACTCAGATGGTTTTATGGCTACACTGTTTCCCAGGATCAGAAGTTTCCTGTTATTTGAAACTTTTTTAATAAAGAAAAAGATAGAATAGGCTTCCCTGTTTATTCTGTGAAATTACTGATATTGAAACGCTAGCAGAAAATAGAATACAATAGATCAATTTCACTTAATAATATAAATACAAAAATCCTAAATAGTATCTGTAAAACCAAGTATTAGAAATGTGCCAAATAAGGATACAAGAGTGATTTAACCTTAGGAAGTATATTAATTTATATTACTCAATTAGAGAAGAAAAGCAGTATTATTTCAGTGTATGATGTAAAAGCATACAACATATATTGTTTGTTATCCTTCCTAAAAACTCTTAGAAAGCTAGAGAAGAGGGAAACTTTAATTTCTTAAGGGTATCTATCAGGCTCTCATTAAGTGTGAGATACTAGATTACACGATAATCTAGTACCCTGTTTTTGTTCAGCAGTAATAGGGAGGTTCTGAGTGATGTGATTAAAAAGGAAAAGGGGAGTTAAAGGAACATACAAAATTATAATTTGGTGATAATGATTTTTTTAACTAGAAAATTCAATTGAAAGGCTACTTTGGTATCATAAAATAAATGCATAAAAATCAGTATCTTTCTCATATTCTACCAATAGCTTTTAATTACAGTTTTCAAAACCCATTAAATCCTTCATCCTGAAAAGAAGTATGCAATGTAATATATACACACATATGCATATGTGTATTTGTATGGAACTTCACTGAAAGAAAGAAAAGGATCTGAGTAGATGAAATAAGAGGATACTACAGTCCTCTTTGGAAGGACTTAGTAGTGTTGCAGTGTCAATTTGCAGGCAAATATATGAATTCATTGCAGTCCCAGTCAAAACCTTGAACACTTGTTAAGAAAATCAGGAAGTTTGGTATTTAAAAAAAGGGAATCAGATTCTTTTCTTATATCATAAGTAAGTTCCAAATAGGTAAAGGTCTGTAAAGAAAAAGACCTTTAAAGTCTTAGTTTGGGGATGGGACCCTAATCAAAACAATACAGAAAACATTGAAGATTAAAAGGTACAGCTGCATTAACTATGCAAATTAATGTATCACAAGACATACAGTAAATGGTTCAAGTATACATGATGAAAGGTTAGATATGTAACACTCAGGTTCTTCTATAAGTGAAAATGAAAATGTGAAAGGTCACAAGTGCTTAGTCAATCAAAAATAGTTTTTCAAAAATTTCCCTCACTTTTAATCTGAAATGTAATTTAAAACAAGACACTGCTTTTTGCCCATCAGATTTGTACCAAGAAGATTTATATTGAAAAGGGTGTGGAGAAAAGGACATTCATAGTCACTGGTAGGCATGTAAATGGATAGCAGCCTTCTAGAGGGCAATTTCTTAGTGTCAAACAATTAAAAGCTCACAATTTCATTTTTAATCTGTATGTGCTGGCAGATAGTATAGAGAAGACTTTTAACTGCAGCATTATTTTTAGCAGCAAAAAAGAGGAAAACAGTTCATTTCCATCTAACCTTTTCTGAAAACTGTCCATGATACATTGTTAAGGGAAAGAGGACAATCACAAAAGGTTGCATACTATTTTTATAGAAAGAGCATGTCTATCAATACATAGAAATGTAGTCATGAAATTGTTTATAGTGGTTACTTCTGGGTAGAAGGACTGGGGCTTGGGGAATGATACTGTGACTTGTACTTGATACTTATGAATAGTGGTTTTTCTTTTTTTACTATTTTAAAATTGCCAAGAAAATGTAAAGTTAATTTATAGATTCAGCCCATTATTTGAATGACTGTAATTACAAGTGTGTTGAAGTGTCTGGCAAAGACTTGTGTTAACAAATCAGATTATGAGCCAAATGTCCAAGTATGGTGTCAGAGTTTCGAAGCATAGGCATTTTTCTTTTCTTAGAAAAATTTACAATGAGAAATAAATGTGGTGCCATTTTGTTTAGTTTTCATACAGTCTCGGGGTTTTAAAACATTGAAATCAAGGACAAGACGTCTGCAGTCCACCTCTGAAAGATTAGCAGAAACACAGCATATAGCACCATCATTTGTGAAGGTAATTAGACCTTTTTTGGTTCAAAAAGTAATAATTCTCAGGTATTAAAATGAGAACCTTCAATACCTGATTTGTCGACCAGTTAATTTTCTCCCATCTTTGCACTTACGATAAAGGATTAATAACCTGTGTAATCATTATACCTACAACTCCTTAGGTGCCAAACTTGTCCCTCTTCTGCTCGACTAGACATCTCTCTCTGGCTTTTTCCCTAACGTACATCTGCTTTATGTTCTCTGTGTTAATAAATAGCATCCACCCAGGCTAGAAATCTGATGATCAACTTCGGTTTGTCCATTTTCTCTCACATCCCACATCCATGAATCACTAAAGTCCTATTGATCCAGCCTCTTAAATTTGTCGAATTTCCCTCTTCATCCCCAGCTCCATTGCATAGACAGACTATACCATTTCTTGCCTTAAATGCTCTAAAGAAAAGGCTCATTTAGTCTCCTTGCCATTAGCTTTGCTACCTTCACTCCAGCTTCCAGATAGCCACCCACCAGTCTGTCCAAAACATAGTCACATAATGTTTGTATTTCTCTGCTTTCCTGTCAGACGCCTGCTGTGCTACAGGGCATTTCATTGGCCTCTGCCTGCCATTTTTCTGTTCTTATCTTTCAATGTGCCACCCACTCTGTACCCCTGCCTTCCTCCTCTCTCGGCATTTTAAAGGCCTGTCGTACAAGACGGCCTGCAGTTCTTGGGCACCAAAGGCTGTTGTTTCATGGCTCTGTCAAGTTGTTCCTGCTGTGTAATTCCCTGGGATATAGATACCCTATCCTCTGTAAGGCCTTTCCTCACTGATGTAGGTAGTATTTCACTTCTTTTACTACCTTACCTACCGCTTACCATATCAGAATGATTTAAAAAACTTAGGTATTTACGTATCTCTCCCCATTAAACGTAAATCATTCAGATCTTTTGTTACCTTTACAGCTTCAGAACTTAATAGAAGCAAAGTACATGAGGGTGTCCTGTCAGTAAACAGTTACAAATTAATGAGTTGTTCCTTGCAGTAAAGATAAAGGAGTGCGAACATCATGCCATTAGAATCCAAAGTCAATGTGTGGCCTATTAACAGTTTTAGTGTAGTATTTAGTATAGATAGAGTTCTTACAGAGAATTTCTTTATATCAGTTGATTTGTGCAAGTATGTTAGGTACAAGGTGTTAGATTCCTAGCTATTGATTAAGTAATTTATCGTAAGTCTTAGTCTAATTCTTCACACTGACCATAAAAATTAAAAATTGTAGAATTTGAACTTTTTTGTGAGTGGTCATTATACTTTGGTGGAGCATTACCTATATAAGCTGCCAATACTGATGTTGTGTTCTTAGGGGTTTCTTTTGCGGGACAGAGGAACAGATGTTGAGAGTTTGGACAAACTCATGAAAACCAAGAACATACCTGAAGCTCACCAAGATGCGTTTAAAACTGGTTTTGCAGAAGGTTTCCTGAAAGCTCAGGCGCTAACGCAAAAAACCAATGGTAAGTTGATTTGACACCCCTCATATTTGGAATGAACATCTGAAAGGAAGTCAGAGTCCACCTTTAACTGACTTGGAGAACAGTTACCCAGCTTTTCATTTCATTCCTTATCTAAAAGTTATCAATCATGTATCCCATTTGTAACTTCAGTGGTGTGGAAGTGGAAATACCTGCTCACCGCTTTTGGCTTTCTCAACTGAGAAATCACAGCTAAGGACAGAAGCATGTGTGGCTTTATGAGACTTTTGGTAATGGTGCTGAAAGGAAATCGTGGCTGTAAGGTGGAAGAACTCCAGGTTACAGCATAGGATGTGATGAGATACATGAGGACCTCATGAGGATGCTAATATTTGCGTTTCACTGAGCTGTCATTTCTCATGGACATCTTTTGACTTAGGCTTTTTCTTTTCCAGATTCTCTCAGAAGAACTCGTCTGATCCTCTTTGTCCTGCTGCTCTTAGGCATTTATGGATTCTTTAAAAACCCATTTTTATCTGGTAAGTGTTTTTATTTACCTAATTTTTTAAATCTTTTAAAAACCTGTTCCTTTTTTATAGGTACACTGATGTTTCTGGCTCTAGGGTCTAGGCTTTTCATTTCTGGAATAAAGAATTCTCTGATTGGGTCACGTTGCAATTGTCTTTTGCATTGAAGAAGAAACGTTTTAATCTGTTATGATTGTGTACGATCTGCATTTTCAGAAGGCTTATTATACATTATACATTGCTTTATGGCTTACAAGAAAAGTTTCTTCAAATACTGTACAACTTCAAGTTTTACTACTTTGTCTCAAAAATAATATTCCTTAAAATTGCAAGGATAGAAGATAAGTAGTGATTCTACAGCATCTTACTATGCTGATGGACAGAGACTGTAATGGGGTTTGTTGGGGGGGGTCTTGGTGATGGGGGGAGAGTCTGGTAAACATAATGTTCCTCATGTAATTGTAGATTAATGATACCTGGCTCAGGATTTCATCCGAGAATTTTCCTGTTGTTCCGTATATTTTAATGTGGCATCAAACTGGAGATGAGTTTTTAACATCTACAGATAACCTTCTTATATTTAGATTGACTTTTTCTTATCCCTCTTTTTGTGTACCCAAAAAAGAACAAGCACAGGGAAGATAGCTGGTATTGGCAGGGTGCTGGAGGCGTGGGATGAGGTCTGATGATTCTTTGTTCTTTTAATTGCTGTCTTGCATTAAGTAAAACAATCAAAATAGGAAATGCATTGCCTCTGTGTAATTATTATTAATTTTTTATAAGGTCCAGGTGAGTCTCCTGTAAACTAACTTGCATTATTTATTAAGTCCATCTATATAGGTACTTTAAAAGTAATTTAGTGGGCTAAAACTATTAATGTCTGCTCTAGAATTGCTGAATGAAATTTTCTGTCCTGACTTATATGTTCTTGATATGTTGAAGGTTTCTTACTAACCCTGTATTTTTGCCTGCTAATTTTTTTGCTTCTAAAATTTCAATCCATCCTATTTTTGGTTGTTTGTGAGGTAATTAGCCATTGCTCAGTTTACTCATTTACGTCTGTCTAGTACGGAAGTTTACATGTTGGGGAGAGGTGTAAGAAAGTTTTGTAATAGTTCCCCATGCTCTATCTCAAATATTGTACTACCCTACCAAACTCTTACTGTCTTTCTTACTCTTAATGATGTTATTACTGATGATGACATACTGAGGGCAACTAAAAACAGTTGTTAGAGGAAGAAGGCTACATGATAAGTGAAACAATCTGTTAAGGTTCATCCCCCCCTTTTTCTAAAATGCCAGTGTCAGTTTTTATGCTATGTTTAAGATAAAATATTTCATAGTGTAGATCTCTAACCAATTGTGTCAGGATAATTCAGGGTGATTTCCAGGGCCATGGCCTTGGAACCTGCATAGACATATGGCTAGAGTGATTTTTATGCACAATGAAATTCGAGAACCATTGGCTTGAATTTCTTTTACTAGATATTATAAGGAGAAGCGACAAATAATTCTTAGTTTTAATTGGAAAGTACAAAGTTGTTTTTTCAATGTGAATCATTTATTCCTTGAACATGGTCTAGAAGCGCAGAAGCCCTAGTTTCTACTCACTCCGATTTTATGTATGTGAACTTAGGTATTTCCTTTTTTGGGGGGCTTTCTTGCATCTGAAAAATAAGGTGGTTGAAATTTTATGAATCCGTCAAATTTTTAAGCATTTCTTTTCTTCCAATTAGTCCGTTTCCGGACAACGACGGGGCTTGATTCTGCAGTAGATCCTGTCCAGATGAAAAATGTCACCTTCGAACATGTTAAAGGAGTAAGTTAAAAAGTTTCCCCTGTTGTCGTCAAACATTATAATTGTGTACAGTCAATATTTGATTCCAAAGGCGTGAAATAACAGAAAACCAAAATGTATTGGTCTGTGCCCCCTGTTCCTGGCACAGAGCTCCTAAAACCCTTGAAATTTCCCAAGTCATAAGAGCACTGGGAGCAGCTTCTGTTTTAGTATTTGGTCTTTGACCCTGACTCCTGACACAGGTTTTCTGAGTCCTTTAGAATTTCCTGGGTGATGGCAGTGTCTCTTGTTCTAATGGGTGTGACTTTTGGTGGGCTTCTGGGTGAGGGCTAGTCACTACCAGAATGACCAAGCCATGGTTAGAAGTTTGGGACTTTCAGCCCAACTCTTGTTCTCCGGAGAGGAGGGAGGGGCTGGAAATGGGGTTAATAATTAATCATTCCTGCACAAAGAATCTCCCATAAAAATCCCAGTAATTTGGGGTGTTGCAGGTTCCCGAACACACGGTGCTACAAAGAGAGTAGCCTGCCTAGAGATGCATTGGAAGTTCTTCCTCTTCCCACATACCTGGCCTTGCAAATCTCTTCCACCTGGCTATTCCTCAGTAATACCTTTTCATAATAAACCAGTAGTCCAGTACCCAACGTGTTTTCTGAGTTCTGTGAGCCACTCTAGAAAATTAATGGAGCATAAGGAGGTATCTTGGGAACCTCCAGCTCATAGCCAGTTGGTCAAAAACAGAGATAACATAGACTCATGATTGGCATCTGAAGTGGATGTGTGGCAGGAGGTGGGGGGATAAGTCTTGTAGGACTGAGCCCTTAACCCTTTGCTGATAGGATTCTATACTCTCTCCAGGGGGATCGTGTGTCAGAACTGAATTGAATTGCAGGACATCCTGCTGGAGTGTGAAGTGCTTGGTTAGGGGAAAAACTACAACATGTTCGGTGACTGGAAGTAGTGTAGAGTAGTTGAGAGTGAGTCAAGGAAAATGAGAGTGTGTATTTCCTTTACATTAAGGAATATTATGCAGTAGGTAAAATGGCATCCAAAAATATTTGAAACTTTAATATTCTGAGTAAATGACAGTAGTAGATGATAAGTCTTGTTTCATGACAGGGCTTCGTGTCAGTTTGTGAAACAGCAAGGTGTCATGGAATGAATGTGGACTACATAGTCAAAAGACTTAAGATTTCAAAATTTAATTTTGAGTCATTGGCTTGAACCAGTCACTTTAGATTCTTACAGATAATGTATATGCTTGGCACATAGTTGATGCATAGTAAATGGTACTTTTCTTCACCTGTTCCTCTTAATTGATGTTTGTACTCTGGTACCTAACCCGCCTGTATTGAAAGAATGGAACGGATGAATGCCAGTTTATACCCAGTTAGTTAAACCATTTGTTTAATAACTATTAATAGTGTCTACTAAGTGCCAGGCTCTGTTTTACATACTGGATAAAATAAAACAAATGTCTGCCCTCATGTTTTAATTGTAGTATAAATTGGACAACATGGTACGTATGGGAATACAGAGAATGTTCAAAAATGGTAAAATGTTATGGAAAAAATATAGAGCAGGGTGAAGAGGATTGGGAGTTCTGGGAGAAAGGTCACAACTTGAAATGGGCTGTTCAGTGTATGATTGAGAAGGTGACATTTGAGTGAAGAATTAAGAATATGGGGTGAACCGTGCATGTGTCTGAGAAAAGAGCATGCCTAACCAGAGGAGGAGAGACAGCAAAGGCCCTGCAAAACTAATGTGCTCAGCCTGCTCACTGAGCAGTGAAAAGGCCACTTCTGTACAGATGGAGTGAACAAGGCAAGTGAGCAGAAGTTGTGGGAGATGAGATCAGGGAGGTATACAGGACCCAATTCATAGTGTCTTATAAGCCGTTTTTAGACTGGCTTTCACTCTGGTCAAGTAGTAGCCATTGAAGGATTCTGAGCAGAGGAAAGATACGGTTTGACATAAAATTTAATGGGAGCTGTGGCTGCTGTGTTGATAATCCGAAGAAAGGACAAAGGTAGAAAATAGGCCATTACTGTAGTCCAGGCAAGAGATGGTGGTGGCTTAGGCTGACAGGATAGCAGTAGAGTTCATGAGAAGTGGTTAGATTGTTAATACATATTTTGAAGGTAAACCCAACAAGATTTCCTGACGAAAGAGAATGTAGGGCATGAGAAAGAAATAGGTGTCAAGAATGACAACAAGAGTTTTAGCCTGAACATTTGGAAGAATGAAGTTGTCATTTACTGAGAAGAGAAAGGCTATGGACCAAACAGATTTTGGGGACATAGATTAGGAAACAAACTCATGCCTCTCTTAGATTTCTAGAAAGTTTCACAGAAATATTTCCAGGAAATACACAGTAGCTTAAAGGGGAAGCAGGGTTTCTGTTAGGCTTGGAGCAGTTTTTGAAAGTTATTTTGATAAAATGATTAAAACTTTACTGAAAAATTTATAAAATGAATGGCTAAAAGCAAACCTTGTCTGCTCCCAGGCCCAGTATAAATGATTTAATATATACATGAGCTTACCTAGAGACATCCACAGGAATATTCTCAACAACCCTGTTTAAGCCAAAACTATAAACAACCCAGTGTCCACCTAACATAGAATAAACATACAGTATTGTGGCAGCCGTAGAATAAAATCCTATGCAGTGAGGGTAAGTAACAACATGGGTAGATCTGACAAACATCACATTGGGTGAAAGAAGCCATACATACTACATGTATTGCATTTATATAAAATTCATAAACAGTCCAAACTGTTTGTGTGTGGTGTTAGAGCAGTGATTATCCTTGGGGTGGGAAGAGATAGGAACTTGAAAGAACTGGGAAGGTTCTGGTAACGTTCTGTTTCTAGAGCTGGGGGCTGATAACATATTTGGAGTTCACTCTGTGAAACTATATAGAGGTATATACATTTATGATTTGTGCATTTTTGTGTGAATATTAAGCTTCAGTAAAATTTGTTTAAAAAAAGGTTCGGCTGGATTATTGCAATAATTTGTTTAAATATTCAGAGGTATCCATATACTAAAAGAATACCAAAATATTTGGTCAAAGTAGTGGATAACCTTAAATTGCAGGAGAAAAGGAAAGCAGATTGAACATCATCTACTCAAATTATTTTCTCTCCCAGGGGGATAAGTCTTGTAGGACTGAGCCCTTAACCCTTTGCTGATAGGATTCTATACTCTCTCCAGGGGGATCGTGTGTCAGAACTGAATTGAATTGCAGGACATCCTGCTGGAGTGTGAAGTGCTTGGTTAGGGGAAAAACTACAACATGTTCGGTGACTGGAAGTAGTGTAGAGTAGTTGAGAGTGAGTCAAGGAAAATGAGAGTGTGTATTTCCTTTACATTAAGGAATATTATGCAGTAGGTAAAATGGCATCCAAAAATATTTGAAACTTTAATATTCTGAGTAAATGACAGTAGTAGATGATAAGTCTTGTTTCATGACAGGGCTTCGTGTCAGTTTGTGAAACAGCAAGGTGTCATGGAATGAATGTGGACTACATAGTCAAAAGACTTAAGATTTCAAAATTTAATTTTGAGTCATTGGCTTGAACCAGTCACTTTAGATTCTTACAGATAATGTATATGCTTGGCACATAGTTGATGCATAGTAAATGGTACTTTTCTTCACCTGTTCCTCTTAATTGATGTTTGTACTCTGGTACCTAACCCGCCTGTATTGAAAGAATGGAACGGATGAATGCCAGTTTATACCCAGTTAGTTAAACCATTTGTTTAATAACTATTAATAGTGTCTACTAAGTGCCAGGCTCTGTTTTACATACTGGATAAAATAAAACAAATGTCTGCCCTCATGTTTTAATTGTAGTATAAATTGGACAACATGGTACGTATGGGAATACAGAGAATGTTCAAAAATGGTAAAATGTTATGGAAAAAATATAGAGCAGGGTGAAGAGGATTGGGAGTTCTGGGAGAAAGGTCACAACTTGAAATGGGCTGTTCAGTGTATGATTGAGAAGGTGACATTTGAGTGAAGAATTAAGAATATGGGGTGAACCGTGCATGTGTCTGAGAAAAGAGCATGCCTAACCAGAGGAGGAGAGACAGCAAAGGCCCTGCAAAACTAATGTGCTCAGCCTGCTCACTGAGCAGTGAAAAGGCCACTTCTGTACGGATGGAGTGAACAAGGCAAGTGAGCAGAAGTTGTGGGAGATGAGATCAGGGAGGTATACAGGACCCAATTCATAGTGTCTTATAAGCCGTTTTTAGACTGGCTTTCACTCTGGTCAAGTAGTAGCCATTGAAGGATTCTGAGCAGAGGAAAGATACGGTTTGACATAAAATTTAATGGGAGCTGTGGCTGCTGTGTTGATAATCCGAAGAAAGGACAAAGGTAGAAAATAGGCCATTACTGTAGTCCAGGCAAGAGATGGTGGTGGCTTAGGCTGACAGGATAGCAGTAGAGTTCATGAGAAGTGGTTAGATTGTTAATACATATTTTGAAGGTAAACCCAACAAGATTTCCTGACGAAAGAGAATGTAGGGCATGAGAAAGAAATAGGTGTCAAGAATGACAACAAGAGTTTTAGCCTGAACATTTGGAAGAATGAAGTTGTCATTTACTGAGAAGAGAAAGGCTATGGACCAAACAGATTTTGGGGACATAGATTAGGAAACAAACTCATGCCTCTCTTAGATTTCTAGAAAGTTTCACAGAAATATTTCCAGGAAATACACAGTAGCTTAAAGGGGAAGCAGGGTTTCTGTTAGGCTTGGAGCAGTTTTTGAAAGTTATTTTGATAAAATGATTAAAACTTTACTGAAAAATTTATAAAATGAATGGCTAAAAGCAAACCTTGTCTGCTCCCAGGCCCAGTATAAATGATTTAATATATACATGAGCTTACCTAGAGACATCCACAGGAATATTCTCAACAACCCTGTTTAAGCCAAAACTATAAACAACCCAGTGTCCACCTAACATAGAATAAACATACAGTATTGTGGCAGCCGTAGAATAAAATCCTATGCAGTGAGGGTAAGTAACAACATGGGTAGATCTGACAAACATCACATTGGGTGAAAGAAGCCATACATACTACATGTATTGCATTTATATAAAATTCATAAACAGTCCAAACTGTTTGTGTGTGGTGTTAGAGCAGTGATTATCCTTGGGGTGGGAAGAGATAGGAACTTGAAAGAACTGGGAAGGTTCTGGTAACGTTCTGTTTCTAGAGCTGGGGGCTGATAACATATTTGGAGTTCACTCTGTGAAACTATATAGAGGTATATACATTTATGATTTGTGCATTTTTGTGTGAATATTAAGCTTCAG